CAAACTTGCATGCGCCTCGCTGATAATAAGTGCACACGCCCATGTTACCGAATAGGCAAGTCAAGCCTTGGTGAAAGTGATAGATAGAACTTCAAATGAGCTGTGGGGAATCAGTAGGGTCTAGAGAAGATGACGTGACGTTAGAAAGTATGGACAAAAGAAGAAAGCGGTGTCTGAGCGGCTGAACCCGACCGAGGCTGGGGTGAACGGAAACTTCAGAGCGAACGGACGCGACGCGCCAGCCAATCAACGCGAACAACGCAGCGTGCTATCCTTGGTGCGTTGTGGACAGGCGTCCAAAGCCGCCGCACAGATGTCACTGTATGTGCGAGATTTAGTGGTTGTTGTTGTTGTTTTTGCCTGCTAAGCAGTCTTTCGGTTGTCTCTGTCCATTTGAAGTAATGGGTGCTTGGTAGATGGTAGCAACCAGCGACAAGCGGCTGGTGTAAACAGTAGGAAGTATGCTTTGCGAGGTTTTGGTGCAGGAGATGGTACCTACCTTGTTTCAAAGGCGGCCCAGTCAGTCACACGTCAAGTTATGCAGACTTTCGCGCAGATTTATCGTGTCGGTAGATTTAGCTACGTGTGATGCTGATGCGACTGAGAGCAGAGCGCGACATGTGTACGCTAGTCCGCATCCAGAGCTAGTGCATCGTCCCGAACATGCGGGCCTTCCACGTACGCCACCATTGATTGAGGGTGTTATAGATTGCAGCCAAGATGCGTTTTGCGCAATGTCCATGCAACTGCAACCTCTCGCCCTGCTGTCCCGTTGCCAAATATACGAAGACAATTGTCCGACGCTCGCTCGCTAGCTTAGAGAACCCAACGCCGACCCAGCCTATTTCGAAGCACCGCTTGGCATGACGGGGTAGATGCACGCCTTCTCTATTCTTACCATTGGCATCTTCGTTGCGGGATACTCAACTGCCCGTTGGGACCTTGTGACCCGTGTGTACGAGCTCGCCATATTCGCCTGGGACCACGGTGTCGTGACCCGAACTGCAAAGGGGTTCGCCTTATTGTCCCTGTTGTTTTTCCTCTTCATACTGCCCGTGGTACGCATCGCGGCCCAGGAGACGGATCTGGTCAGTAGGGCATGTACAAGTCTTCACATGGCCGGTTGACTAAATACTTGTAGCATCCCAGACTTGCAGGCACGGGAATCTCTGCGCGCGAGCAGCTCAAACGTCGCGGTTCTTTCTAGCGAGGTAGCAGGATGAGGACATGGTCACGCACAATGGCTTGATGCGCATATTTTGGCCATCAGACGTTCCAAATGACTCTACGCCAGGGGTTCTAGTCGGATTCGAGAACTCCAAGACTGATGTCTTCGTGGTAGCCGTTCTGCAGGATGTGGATTTGCGCCAGGTGGAAAATGCGCTGCTTGTAGGGACATTGTTGCGACACAGCCCACATGATATCCAAGAACTGCTGCAACGATGCGGGCATTCGGCACTTCGCGCTATTGGCTGCGTAAATCCAAAGAATTCACCAGATGCATATGGCGCCGAACCCCTCACAGTGTACACAAGTCCTTCGATCCGCTTTCCACGCATCCACTACCCGACCGACACGCTCATGGCCATTCAAGTCATCGTATACGACCGACCGCACCCGACACGCATGCAATATCTCTCGCTGAATCCCATCACACTCGCATTAGGAGACAAAACACGGGTGGCTGAGTGGGATGGGGTGTTTGCTGACCTCGAAGAAGCAGAGGCAAAGGAGCGGAAGAGGAAAGCACAGCTTGTCGAGCGGTTGAAGCTTCACACAGTCCTTGCGCATCCGCCCACGCAAAAGGAGCTGGCATTGCCAATGATCATCGAGCAGGTCAATTGCTCGTACGAGCTCAATGCTCTCCTACAAAAGAATATCGGCATGATTGGCAGGCGCATGAAGCGGGCACTGAGTGTTAGTGAGCGCGTGGCCGAGTCTGCCAACAACCTCTGGGACTATGCCTGGATGATGCTCGACTACTTGTTTAGAGTCTGGGTCTGGCCTATAGCTGCACAGCTCTTCATATTTGGCATCATCACGCACCGTATACTGGGAGAGGCTGTGATCATGGTCTTGCACTGGCGACCTGGGGCTTCCGACTCACCGGCCTTGAAGGACATCTCTGCAACAGCACAGCAAATCGACATTCGACTGCAACAATCATGTTACTGGCCTATTCAGTACCTTACCTTGCGTCGAAGGAAAGCCAATTGGGAGAGCATTACCAACAGCCATCCAGAGTACATTCGATTCTACAATAGTCTGTGGTTGGTCGCAAACGATGTCATCATGGGTATAGCTGTAGGAACCTTCATCATTGAGAACGCGTCATTCGTGGCAGCACAAGTGGACACTATATTCAGTGCATGGTCAGTCGAGGGACTGCGGCGCATGATATCATGGCTCATGGGGTGGCCGGGAGGCTTGAAGCTCAACACCGAGCTGGCAGCCTTCTTGGGCGACCTGTTCCTTTGGGTCATTGACTACTGGGCTAGTAAGTGCATACCGCCGACGTGTAGAGTGTTGCTGACGGAAACAATCTACAGATTGTATATCGCTTCTGCGACCGCATCTGCCCGCACTCATCCAGATCATTGGCTACTCCTCCTTTGTCGGCGCCACTATGCCCATATCGATCTTCTCGGACCTCGTCTCCCTGCTTACCGTGCACATATACTCCTTCTACGTTGCGTCTGCTCGCATCTTCCACTGGCAGCTCACCATCATCATTTCTCTCTTCCACCTCTTCCGTGGCAAGAAGCGCAACATTCTCCGGAACCGAATTGATTCGTGCGACTACGACTTGGACCAGCTACTCCTTGGTACCATCTTGTTCACGCTGCAGTTTTTTCTCCTGCCAACTGTGTTCGTCTTCTATCTGACGTTCGCCAGCGCGCGCATCGCTGTGATTGGTCTCAAAGCAAGTCTTGAGATGGGACTTGCATGTCTCAACCATTTCCCGCTGTTTGCGGTCATGTTGCGGCTCAAGGATCCAGGGCGCTTGCCAGGAGGGATATGCTTCGAGTTGCAGGATACGGGCGATATGTCGGTGGACAAACAAGATGCGTCTGGGTTAGCGCCAACTGCCTATGTGCTGCTCAAGGTAAGTCTTATGTCTGACATCTTGTTATATCCATACTTACAAGTGACAGTCTGTACCGCTGTCACTCCGCGCAATGTTCCAACCATACTTTGACCTAGGTGACCGCATACGAAAACACTACTTTTCGCCTAGTGTGTTGCTCTACCTAGTATCAGGTCAGTTCGTGCCGCCAATTCACCGTCGCAACCTGTATAGCCTTCAGTATAGCATGTTGCCAGCAAAGAGGGCAGGCATAGGTGAGCTGTGGAGGAAGTTGACGGAGCGGGACCGGCAGCCCTCGCGTTCATCAAGTAGCTATGCCCCCATGTCGTTTAGAAGAGGTATACCAAACGGTAAAAGTAGAAAATTGATATAACCACTTTGTACCATCTGCTTCCAAACATCTCTTATCCACTTGCCTACTCGTTATTTCTATGCATCTTGTACTATCTTCTCACTTGTTTCTCCGTCTCCGCGCTCAGGAGTTGTCACTGTATAGCGTTGGCGTGTGGTCAACAAACAATCACAACGTCATCCGCCACAGCACCCACGCACAATGTCTGCACTCACTCGCATACTTTTCACTCCCTCATCCCAAACAAATGAAAAAAAAACCCCCTCCCAAAAAAAGCATCTCACCCCCCTCCCCCCAGCATCTGCTGACCGACGCCCGTCCCTGTATTCGAACGGCACACCCTCCTAGCGACAGCCCATTTGTTATTCTATGCAAATCCCTAGCTCTTTTTCTTTTATATCTTTTCTCTTCTATCTATGTTTTTTTCTCCTCAAGGTATCTTTCTGGGATACGCATTCGAAGTGCGTGGTTGACCTTTTTGAGTAAATGCCCATTACCAAGTGATGTTTTTGTTAAGCTAGGAGCCCACCCGTTCAGCCAAAGAGAGAGAAGATGTGTTTTTTTGTTTGATGGGAATGTGAGGAGTTGGGTGGGCTATATTGGGAGGGGAAGGGGTGAAAGTGTAAGGAGGTGAGAGGGGGTGAGGGCGTGAGGGGCGCAGGGCGGGCGGGCAAACGGGGGGAGTGAAGGCGGTTGCGTGGGGTTTTGGCATGTGATTGAGGTGTTTCACTTGTGAGGGGGGTGGGAATAGGATGAGGTTTGTTGGGGCGAGGGTGGTAAGGGGTCTGTTGTGTTGGAGGTGGTTTGGATGGGAGGGTTATTGACGGAAGTGTCTTACTTGATTAGGTGAGTGTAAGATGAGAAGGGATTATCAGAAGAGAAAGAATAAGCTAGATGTAATTACTTCAAGGGAGATATGTATATTCAATAGTTGATGCGGGAGTTGTGGCGTGTATGACACGTAATGTAGGTGCTGTCATAGCATCAGGAAGCCGCGACTGCTTGCTTGAGTATGCTGTTGACTACACCTGTCATTCTACATCTGATACTACTCAACAAGCCTCAGAGCACTACTGTATCCTTCAATGATGACGATGAATCCCTGGAGGGCCTGTAGTTGTACCAGTGCCCTTTTAGCGATCCTTACCAACCAGCGAAGCTTCGATCTGTCCATACCCTTGCAATCATCGTTGGCGGAAAGCCACAACAGCACCGCTCTGCTACGTACGTGTGTTCGTTCCAAATTCTTTCGCATCATTATTGAAAATTGGGCGAGAAAGAAGGAGCTCAGTCCACCAACTAGCAGATGGATGCAATGTGCCCCGGAATACACCACTCCAACGTGTGCAAAAGGTCGATGGCCAAACACTTTACGATTTAACAATGGATTGCCTCCAACAAGCCGCCAATACTATCTCAAAGGAGTTTCTCGTCGACACGGTTGTGGTAACCAGTAGAGCGACTGGTGGACCGCTCCCCCTTGACTTACGCTCTGAGTCGAGTATATACCATTAGAGAAAATGACAAGAGACAAAGGATAAGAGACAGAAAGAAACAAATCACCAAGTACAAGAGAAATCTACACATGAGACTTTTGTGTGAATCGCCTCAAATGTCGTCTGTATTTGCAGGATATCAATAGGGACAAAGAGTCCCAACAACCATAAAAGATCGTAACTATACGTCGCTGACACAATTTCGCTGAGGCCTCTCAAGCTACGCATAGCTTTCTCTTTCAAACCAACAAAAGCCACCGCAAGATTGTATGGCAAAAGAAACAAGGTTCCTCTTTACTCCATTAGATAGAATCGGAGCTACATGCCAGAGAGACAAACTAGCAAAAGCAGGCTATTCTCAAAAGATCCAAAACGCCCGATTCCAATTACTACTACTAGGAAGACATAAACGAGGCACCGTCGTCACCCGGCGGTTGCGGCCAATCTGGCGGTTTAGGAGTTTTACTCGGTGGCTCGTCGGGGCGGGGTTTACGACCCCAAACAACGTAACTGGCAAAGATCAGCTCTGAGCTCGCAGCAAAAACTGTGCACGTTTGGCAAACTTACACTTTGTAATAGGCGTGTATGGTCTTGTCTGTGAGGGCAGTTCGCAGGTGTGCAAGGTAGACCTCGACCTCTGCAGGCGACCATCCCAGAGCAGTGACAAAGTATTCAATTGACCACGCGTGCACACCGGCACACAGATTCCAGTAGAACCACTTTCCGAGTACTTTCATACGCTCGTCTTTTGGCCATGAATTGACAGGGATAGCGAATATCTCCTCGTGTACGTCGACGAAGCCTGCTTGCTCGTACCATCGCTTGAGTTTGTTGGCGATACGTAGGGGCCGGCCTAGGCGCATAGCTGCATCGTCTTGTGTCGCTGTCCAGTCTAGGAGCGCGTAGTCGGCAGGCATTGTGCCGTCATTGCAGTAGATTTTGGGATAGAGCTCCTGAGATTCCATCCATCCTCCTGGGTTGAGGTTGTTGAAGCCTTTTTGGATGATTTCGCGAAAGTCGTGGAAGATGCCGTGCGACATGCGTGTGTGGATGTAATCGTACGGCTGCGTGCAGCGCCACCATTCCGGCCGAGTGATGTCGTCCATGAAGAAATCAACATTTTCGCAGGAGCTGTACTTGTTAGCGAGGGTTGCTTGGACCGGCATGTGCGGCTTACATCTTGGGCTGGATCGGAGACAAGTCAATGCCTTCCACCTATTCCTTTTGTTAGGTGTGCCGCAGAAGAAAATACGGGGGACGTACCCGGCACTTTGGGAACTCGTTCGCTATCAGTCGTTAGCGTTCTTGCTGGCACTACCTCGGCGCTCTACGTACCCATTTCGAAGCACCACTTGCCGGTGCCACAGCCAATGTCGAGCATCCTCTTGGGCCGCTTGAGCTTCAATGGGGCGAGGTAATTCCTCTGGTGAAACAGAGCTGTAAGGATAACATGCTGCATGTCCAGGCGCTCTATCTCAGGCTGGGTATCAGCCAGTCAGCGGCTGGAAAAAAAAGTAATGTGTGTGCCAGGGCTGGGGCAGCTACACGTACCGCGTCGTTGGGAAAAGGGTAAGCTAGAGTGCATTAGCTGGGAGGGTCAGTGAAGGAGTCGTGCGGCGATGCTTACCACCAGCCTGGTATCCGTGGTAGGTCCTGCCATATTTCTTGACGTAGTCGAAGATGCTTGGCGTGAGACTTTGGATCTCGCTGTGGCGAGTGAGTTCAGGAGGGCCATTTGAGAGCAGCAGAGCACCACACGTACGAGTTGTCGTAACCCTCTGATTGCGGATCCGACTACAAGTCCCGATTAGCTGGCAGTGCTTGTCGCAGGCCTGGCGGCGCGGCGGGGGAGGCCGGGTGTTTGACATACATCAGGTTCCAGGGTCGAGTGTGTAATGTCGGTGAGGTCCGTGGCACTGGACAGCGGACGCAGCGGCCTCTCCTTGCACAGTTGGTCGGGCACAAAGGTCGCCATGTTGGCGGTTTGCGATGCGCTCCAGGAGCGCTATTTGACTCTGGCCGAGTCGTGTCGAGAAGGAGGCGAAACCCAGCGGAGCGGCATGTCGTTCCCAATGCCAGGGCCTTGGGGGCGCCCGTCACGCCAATGGCCACACCAGGGCGGGACCATCCTGCGCTAGGCGTGGGCTAGCGAACCCCGCAATTCACCGAACCTCCACCGCCCATCTGCCACCTGTTGGACCGACCCACCATCACCTCCAACCCGCCGAATGACATCCCCACGAGTGCGCCGCACGCTGCCAGCTACCGCCGCCGCGGCTTTTGCATTGCGTCGTCTCATCCGAGCGAGTGGATGACAGCTCGCCAGGCCCTCGGGTGCGCCCTCGTCGACACGCCTTGCATGTCTTCACTGCTCCCTCTGCAAGGGATATGCCTTGTTCTCGACGCGCTGCTTGGCCATCTGCGCATCTTGCCGTCTGGCCCAGTTTTGCGGCAGGAGCCTGTTCCGCCTGGATGCCGCTAAAGAGGCACCTATCTGCGTCTCTAGCGCAGCTGCAAACAGTCTTTCTTCACCGGCCGCCCTGCTTGCTGCGTACCGGCACCTCGACAATTCCTGCTACTTCTCCGTGCCCACCATGATCAGTGTTGTCGTCACGGTCATTCATCCACGTGGGTCATCCAGCGACTCGGCGTCTTCGGCGATGCAGTGGCGCGGTTGCACTCAAAAGATCCCCCGTCGGCGCTGCATCCGGGGCATCGGGTCGACAAAAGGACGGTGCCAAAGCATGTCACCAGGGCTGAGCGCCAAGCGGAACGCGTCACGATAATCAACCTTTTTTTCGGGTCCTTGATACATTCGTGACAGCAATCGGAACCTCAAAACCATGACTCTTCTCACCCAGAGCAGCATCTTTCGAAAGTGCACTGAAATTAGCGTGTTTTGAATTGGCAGCAATTAGGTTCCTGTGCAAGGAGAATTGCAGCGAGGCTTCACGTCCAACAACGTCTGTTTGAGTTCAATGCCATGCACTGAGCCTTTAGAGTTTAAGCTGCGCACCTTGGCAGCCGACCTTGCATGCAGATACAGTGCCAATGGTACAGTACGTGGTATAAAACACCACGTTAATATTTGTCATGCTCACTAAATGATTAAGGGTTCGGCGAGGTTCATGCCTTCCACATTTAGAAAAATTTCCCGTTTTCATTTTCGCTATCTTTACCTCACGCAGTGTCGGTCCTTTGTCGGCATTAAACTTGCATCAACAGAAAACCAAATGGCCCACCGGGTTTTTTTGGACACATCAAGCCTCTTGGAGAAGGCTTTGAAAATTACGCAATTGCAAATTAGCAGCGGCTTTGTCCTATCGAAATTGTACCAGACCTGCTGCACTTCGCTCAAAGCCCGAAGTTCAATATACAACTTGGGCATCGACTGCCACGGTGCTGCCTGCTATCACGCACGGTCTATTCTGGCATTTTCAAGCATTTTCAAAAGTAATGTCCTCTACTTGCAATTCAAATGTGATAGAAATGTGCGTTGATTGAGTCTCACTTGAAATTCAATGGCCTTCAAACATTGGATGTCTATCACTTCTAAGGTTTGGAGAATATGGCACTCTCACCTTCAAAATTGACTCTCAATGTGTGGCCCATCACTCACTACACTGCAGCTATATATCTGAGACGTCAAAGCAGCATTGCTCTGAACTAACATCTTGAATGGTATCAAATGAGATACTGCTCATCGTCACAAAAAGCTGTTCATTACACACGCCTGCCAAACCTAAGTACTAGTAACGATGGTTCGAAATGATTTCAAGTCGCTTGCGAAGCGGAACCCAACAAGAGCAGCGAGGTACAGAGCTACCATGCGCAATGTTGAACACATCATGGCACATCGAAGTACACGCAAAACCGGACAAAAACCCAAACCGAAGGCCATACGCAAGACTACACACAATATAGCGCGTAGACCTATCCGGTGGGATTCTCCATGTGTAACTCATTGTTTGCATCTAACTTCTTGTAGATTTGGTGAAAAGCTAATTACCATCTACGTGGGGGGGCAAGAAAAAATACCATTCGTAACCCATGAAGACCTGCTCTGTTCCGACTCTGGCCACTTCAAGAAGCTCTTCCAAAAAAAACCCCCGTAAAGCCATCGAAGGGGAATGTCCGATATGCATCGATGATCTCTCTGGCTTCTTACCAGTATGCTATTGCAGAAGCTGTGGACAAAACTTTCACACGAAATGTCTTGACGACTGGCTGCAGCGAAAAGCAACATGTCCAGTGTGCTATGTGGACAGGCCGATAACGATTGATTTAGTTCAGAGCAGACTCTGGGATGCCGCCAATGGTGAACCTTGGGATGTGTATATGCAGTGGTTGTATACCGGAATTATCCCAGTCCATCTCAAAGGCCTCGATGACCACGGCGCTAAACACTGTCAGCTACTAATGGTGTCACATGCGCTCGGCGAAAGACTTGAGGACGAATTATTCCAGAAAGCATTACAAAAGGAGATTGTCGAGGACATCAGGATATCTTTGCGTGCAATCGGCTATCACAATATCAGACAGGTGTACCAACAGTTCACGAACGGGGCTTCGACGCTTCGCAAAGTACTGGTTGATCTGTACATTGCTAACGCAGACTCAACGAAGTTGGATTTGTAATATTCTCAGCAGTTTATCCTGGATATTGCACGGACTTTGCTGACGCGACAGGGGAAACAGGATGTGGGTTCAGAAAAGGCGTTGGCGGGATACAGAGAAGAAGAAGAAGAAGAAGAAGAAGAAGAAGAAGAAGAAGAAGAAGAAGAAGAAGAAGAAGATGATGATGATGATGATGATGATGATGAACTTGCATATGACTTCAGATATGGAGATAGATTATATGAACCAGGAGAGACGGAGGCAGAGGAGGATGATGACGGGGACGAGGAAAGATAAGTTCCACAGGACTGAGGCGCATCTGAGCTTGGCCATACGAAAGAACAGTTGAGGGTTTGGTAACACGGCAGACTAATGCCTGAATACTTGGATCAAATAGCTTTCTATTCAAACAGACAACACTTATGGAGAAGATGAACAAAAAAAGCAATCTGCATTGCCTGAAGATGGGCATCCCACCTAGACGGATCCGCTAATGTACAGGTGCTCATGTCAAAGAAGCTGTTGCTCATGCATAGTTTACCGGCCTTTCTTGACCCAGTCCTCCAAGCTTTCCCTGGTATCAGCGAGTTTTCCTTCGACGGCACCAACGGTGCCTTGGGCATGTGCCTTTCCAGTCTCGACAAACTGCAGGATGCGCTTCTTCATGCGCAGATGTGTGTCTGCAACGACGGGGTATCGCTCCTCATAGGTCCAAATGAGATCACCCACGTTCTTGGAGGTAATGGGCAGCACCACGTTGGCAGCAGTAATGCCCACGGCAAGGGGCACAGAGGCGCGGAGTAGTATGTTGCGGTTGCGTGTGACAATGGATCCGGCCATGGAGGCAACGAGCACATACAGGGCACCGGGCAGGACCTTCTCGCCAGACTCTTTTGGTGGGGCTAGCGAACGGATGGTGCTTGTGAAGGAGTGCTCTAGGCGGAGCGTCTCGGTAAGAGCGTTATCGACGGCCTTTTCACCGCGGACGGCTTGCTCGTACAGAGCCATGCGCGCACGGCCAATCTGGACAGCTAGGCGGTCGGTAGGGGTCGGGCGGTAGACGGGCTCTTCGGAGGGGGCCGAGCGTGATGGCGCTGGTAGAGATGGGGCAGTAGGAGTGGTGGCATCAATGGGCATATCATCGTAGATTGGCTTGCGGTTCTGTACGCTACGTCAGTACCGAAAGTTGCACGTGCCGTCCAGTAGAAATTTTGTCGTAAATCAAAAAATTTATACGAGACATAGGGCAGCAGCACATACCGAGTAGTCTTCCTGGCGCTCTTCTGCGTACACGGAGCGAGGAGCGAAGATTGCCGTGGCTGAAAGGGCGGCCATGGCGGGGACGACGGCGCGCTGCAAGACATCAGACGGCAGCCGTGTGTTATTCAGAGAGTCTACTCACCTGCCGTAACAGCGGTCGGAAAGCCATGTCGGGCGTGGGGCGGGCGCAATGGGTGGGAGACTGGCCGTGATCCAGCTTCTGATGTTGAGCTTCTGAGGATGCGGCAACGGCCGTGCGAGCGCCGCAAGAATCCCGCCCACCCGCCCTCGGCCTGGCCTGGCCTGGCTATGACATCGTTTGTTTCTCAGGCCCTACCAATCTTCCTTCACTCGTGACACCACCCACGATGCTCAAGCGGCTTGCGCGCACAAAGCAGCCAACAGCGCCCTGGATCTGCCATCGCTGTCTCCACCAGTCGCAGCGCCAACGACGCTTCAACTCGACTTTTGCTGCTGCTGCCACCGCCCCCTCCAAGCCACGCGACCCTGCGCCGCCACTCCACGGTCTCCCTACCAGTGCAAAGACAGATGACGACGCCCTCCGCAAGGTTTTTGACAGCGCCTCGTTCTGGGCGGGCTTCAAACGAACATCGCAAAATGGCCAGCCCGCTGGCATTATCGGCAACAAATACCTTACGCATCCTGAAGGCTTCGTCGACTTTGTCACCATAACCATCCAGCGCTGCAATGCTGTCGTGCAAAAGGTGGCAGCCGCGCAGTCGGTCCAGGATTACAAGCACATGGTTAAGGATCTCGACAAGCTCAGCGACCTGTTATGTAGAGTCATAGACTTGGCCGACTTTGTGCGAGGCACCCATCCAGATCGCAAGTTCCAGCTCATGGCAGTCAAGGCATACTCGACAGTCTTCCAGTACATGAACCAATTGAACACAACACCCGTACTATATGACCAGCTGAAGAAAGGCTCGGAGATACCTGAGGTGTACGAGGCCTGGAGCGAAGAAGAGCGCATCGTTGCGAGGATACTGATGGAGGACTTTGCCCGCTTTGGCATTGGATTGGACGACAAGACACGAGAGAAGCTGGTGGACCTGAGCGGAGAGATTGCTGAAGTTGGAAACCAGTTTGTCGAGGGTATGGCACCAGAGACACTGACCCTACGGTTCAAATCCACGCGGTTAAAGGGGCTGGACCCGAACATGGCAAAGGCTCTGACCAAGTGGGGAGAAACAAAGATTTCGACAATGCATCACGAGGCGCAATCTGTGCTGCGGTTTGTCGAGAACCCAGAAGTGCGCAGAGAGACATATCAAGCTGTCCGCACAGCAAGCAAGCCGAGCATTGCACGATTGGAGAAGATGTTGAAGCTGCGCGCCGAACTGGCCCAGACATCAGGTTACGAGACGTTTGCGCACATGACGCTCGAGAATAAGATGGCACGGACACCAGAGGCTGTCAATACGTTCTTGAAGGCATTATATGAGGACAGTCGACCGGCTGTACTCGCCGACTTAGAGGAACTGATGGAACTGAAACGAGGAGATGCTCACCGGTCCAACTTTCCAGATCGCATCAATGCCTGGGATAAGTTCTACTACACACAGAAGATGCTTGCGACAATGGAGGGCCATTACAGGCAGCGCACCCCTGATTCACTATCTGCATATTTTTCTGTCGGTACCGTTCTACAGGGAATATCTCGGCTCTTCGACCGTCTCTACGGCGTACGCTTTGTTCCAAAGGAGACTCAGCCGGGGGAGGTGTGGGATGATGGAGTTCGCCGCCTCGATGTCATATCTGATACTGAAGGCCATATTGCGGTACTTTACTGTGACTTGTATTCTCGTTCTGGCAAGACGCCCAACCCAGCGCATTTCACACTGCGCTGTAGTCGCGAGATTTTACCCTCGGAAATGGAAGAAATGGCACATATGCAGCACCGCTTTTCTTCACCCATTGAAGCCGCAACCGATGGCATGCCAGTATCTTACAATGCCCAACGGCAAAGTTATTTCCAACTACCGACTATCGCCCTGATTTGCGACTTCAGCAAAGCGTCTCATTCGCGACCAACGCTCCTCAACATTCATGACGTACGCACTCTGTTCCACGAAATGGGTCACGCTCTCCACTCTATCTTGGGTCGCACAGCTCTCCAAAACGTCTCTGGCACTCGTTGCGCCACCGACATCGCTGAGCTGCCCTCTGTTCTAATGGAACACTTTGCCTTTTGCCCACACGTTCTCTCTCTGTATGCCCGCCACTGGGAAACAGACGTTCCAGTCCCTATGGCTGCCCTTGAGTCCCGCCTCGCAATTGACAATCGAAATCAGCACACCGAACTTGAATCGCAAATCTTACTTTGCATGCTAGACCAAGCTTACCATTCCCCTATCGCCGCCGACCCAAACTTTAACTCAACAAAGGTTTACCACGATGTATACAACAAGTACGCGTCAATTCCTGAACCTGCTGGTACAGCCTGGCAGGGCTTCTTTGGCCACTTGTATGGATACGGCGCTACATACTACTCTTATCTGTTTGACCGCGCACTCGCAGCTAAGATCTGGAAGGATGTGTTTCAGCACAATGGCCCAGAAGGCAGTTTAGATAGAGAAAACGGTGAGTTGTATAAGAATGAGGTGCTTAGATGGGGTGGCGGAAGAGACGGCTGGCAGTGCCTGGCTGGCGTGCTTAAAGATGAAAGGCTAGCCGAGGGGGGCGAGCAGGCCATGCAGGAGGTGGGGAAATGGGGGATCCGGGATATAGGGAAGTAGATGGTACATTGCGAACACCGAACATTGTATCATGTGCATAAAGTCGCATCTATACTTTTGTGAATAAACTCCTGGTCAATAAAGTATCCATTGTTGCGGGTTGCAATATGTCTTGCAGATTCATTGGCTCGCTGATCATACCGAACATGGCCGAATGGCTGAATCACATCATTGGGAAACCCCCAAAAGCGTGAACGGCCGAAATTTACATAGTTGGATACAATTCTGTAGTCGCACCCGACCAAGCATGTGGCGTGTGGAGGTGTATCCTTCGCTGTAGGCTGAATCTACGCTAGCCGCTATAAGACGACGCGCTCTTATCGATAAAGTTTTCGAGGTCAGAAAAGTTTTGGTATTCGAAACGCCATCACTATTCCCACAACAGTCATGTCACAAGAAAAGAACATAGATTCAAAGGCCCAGAATGGAGAAAAGGGATCAGCAGAACTAAAAAAGGGAAAAAAGAGAAAGAGAGCTCAACCAGCTAAGGATGGCTGGAGTGTTAAAAAAGGCGCCGGCCAACTAACCAAGTTTGACGACTCTGAAAATGATACACCTAATCCCGTTGCGAGCCAAAAGAGCAAGGTTGATGTTATGGAGAAGACAGAGGTTGATACGGAAATATCAACTGGACAGCCTGAGAAGTCTTCCAAACCGGACAAGCCATCTACACAGCCATCAGAGCCCACACCTAAGCGTGAGCAACATTCCAAGGCCAGGAACAAGCAACCACAGCGGTTGCGAAACTCTCAAAAAATCCAGGACATACCCCCTTATCTTCTCCAAAAACGCGACGAGCTGCGATCAGTCAGAAAATCGCTTCCCATATGGCCCCAGGCAGACTCCATCCGAGCAGCACTACAAAAGAACAACATCCTTGTCTTAACCGGAGAAACGGGTTCCGGAAAATCGACACAGTTGCCACAGTTTTTGACCAACGAATCATGGTGTACGGGATGCATAGCAATCACACAGCCTCGAAGAGTGGCAGCAATTTCTCTGGCCCGCCGTGTTGCAGAAGAAATGGGCAGCTTACTTGGTGACAAGGGCCCAGCAGCCAAGGTCGGCTACAGTGTCCGTTTTGACAACGCCGTTGGGAAGCATACAAAAGTCAAGTTTTTGACTGAAGGTATGCTGCTTCAGGAGATGCTCAGGGATCCCAACATGCCGCAGTATAGTGCGATAGTAGTGGATGAGGTGCACGAGAGGAGCGTGAATGTGGATCTGATTCTCGGATTTTTGAGGAATCTAGTTGCTGACGAGGAGAATAACAAGAAAAGGAAGCATCCGCTAAAGGTGGTAGTAATGAGTGCTACAGCAGATGTGGAGAGTCTTGTGAAATTCTTTGGGGATGATTCGCCTGCAGCAACATCGGACACGACTGTCGACAAAGCAAAAACGGCAAACACTAGCAAAGTTTCGACGTGTTATGTAGAAGGACGACAATATCCAGTCAAGACGATATATCTGCCACAGCCTACACAGGATTGGATCGAATCTGCCCTGAAACTGGTATTTCAGATTCATTATAAGGAGCCTCTACCCGGCGATATACTAGTTTTCCTAACGGGTCAAGACACTATTGAGTCCCTTGAGAAGCTCATCAACGATTACGCTGAAGGCATGGATGACGAAGTTCCTAAGTTACTCGCTCTCCCACTCTTCGCAGCCCTTCCTCAGCACGCTCAACAACGCATCTTCCAACCAGCTCCTTACCGCACCCGACGCGTCATCCTCGCAACCAACATTGCAGAAACATCCGTCACTGTCCCCGGCATCCGCTTCGTAATCGACTGCGGCAAGTCTAAAATCAAACAATTCCGGAATCGCCTAGGCCTCGAGTCGCTCCTCGTAAAACCAATCTCCAAATCCGCAGCCATCCAACGTAAGGGTCGAGCCGGCCGTGAAGCACCCGGCCAATGCTACCGCCTCTACACCGAAGACGCCTACAAGAGCATGGAAGACCGCACCATCCCCGAGATCCTCCGCTGTGATCTCAGCCAAGCCATCCTAACCATGAAAGCCCGCGGCGTCACCGACGTCCTCAGTTTCCCCTTCCTCGACCGACCCCCCCGCGAAGCCCTAGAAAAAGCCTTGCTCCAACTCCTCCACCTGCAAGCCCTTACCGAAACCGGCGACATCAGCCCCAACGGCCTCGTCATTGCGAAGTTCCCTCTAACACCCACACTGGGTCGCGTGCTAGTCGAAGCCGCAAAACCCGAGCGCGACTGCATCTCCGCAGCCATCGACATCATCTCCGCCTTAAGCGTCGAAACCGTGTTCCTGAACCTCGTTACCGAAGAGCGCAAAGAAGAAGCTGAGGAAGTACGTCGGGAGCTGTATCGTCGCGAGGGCGACCACTTGACGCTTCTCGTAACCGTGCAGCGCTTTGCAGCGGAAGACAAAGTGCAGAGAAAAACGTGGTGCGAGAGACATTTTGTGTCGTATCGCGCTATGGAGAATGTAATGAAGATACGCACGCAGCTGAGGGAGCTATGTAAGCAGCTTAAGTTGCTGTCGAATGACGGGGTGGAAGCTGATGATGCGGCGCCGTCGGAGGCGAAGAGTCGGGCGATACTTGAGTGTATGTTACGTGGGTTTATTGCGAATACGGCGCGCTTAATGCCGGATGGGAGTTACAAGACTTTGCTGGGGAATCAGACTGTGGCTATTCATCCTAGTTCAGTGTTGTTTGGCAAGAAAGTGGAGGCTATTGTGTTTAATGAGTTTATGTTTACGGGGAGGGCGTGGGCAAGGGGGGTGAGCGCTGTGCAGTTGGATTGGGTTGCGGAGGTTATTGATGGGATTATGTAGTTCCTCTCTCATACTCCATATTCCACTTGAATATTTATTTAGCTTCTTTAATCTACACATGTCACATATTCCAGTACGGTTGTCTACCTCCGTCTCCCCACACCCCCAGCACCACCTGCCCCCTCCTTGTCCGCCAAATTAACAACCTCCCCTATGCCTGCCGCCTCCTGCTCATCCTCCAACGCGCGAATCTCTTCTCTGCAATCCCACCATTTTTCTTCAGCACGTTCAAATGCCAGCTTCTTGACTTCCTTAGGACTCTTCTCTGCGCTCGTACCCTTGCGCTCCAACTCCTCAAGGATGATATTCTGCCACTGCTCGGACGTACGGGCGTAAAAATCGCGGAGAGACTCAAAGGGACGCGGATGTGGTAGAGTATCTGTGAGTGCGGAAATTTCTTCCTGGGGACCCAGATCCTCTGCTGCGGGAGGGGCAACAGAGTCTGCGACACTTGTGGGAGCTGTAGACGCGGATTTGGCGTCGTCGTCTTCGGCATCTTCGTCTTCGTCTTCGTCTTCCTCGGAGTCGTCTTCCTCATCCGAGTCGGCTTCGTCTTCGCTGCCTTGCCAGTCTTCGAGGTCGCGCTTGAAGATTTCGGTTACGCCGTCGAGGTGGTTAAGGTTGACGGACCACAGCTCGTCAAAGGTGAATTCTCGGTCGCCTTTTTCGTAGGTGCCACCGTAGATGTACAAGGTATCTGCTTGGACAGTGAGGGCGGCATTGAAGCGCGGGTGGGGAAATTCGAAGAGTTTAGGCTTCTCCGGGCGTGTATCTTCTTCTTCGTCTTCCTCTGCAGCTTTGGCAGCTTCGTCGTCGGGGTCGGGGTCTTGGGCGACTCCGGCTTTCATTTCGAGGGCTTTAAGGTTGGCTAGAAGTTCTTCCTCTGCTGCTTTGCCGCGGTCTCGTCGGCTGACATTGGCTTGTTGGGCAGCTTTCTTGTTTGCGTTTTGCTTCGGCCGACGTAGTGTAAGTGGCATGAAACGGTTTCGCTCTACGTTCCAGATGAAGAGCTGGTTGAAGAATTCCGAGTCGATACCTTCTTCGCTCTCCTCGACATCGTGCACTCCACCGAACATGACGCCACGACCCTTGTGGTATGCCATGGTGGCGCCTGCGCGTGGTGGGTTTGGCGCATTCGCTGGCTTCTTTCGCTTCTCCCATGACACAGTTGGCAGAGTTGTCGAAGGTTGATCTGCTGGTGGCGGCGTAATGCGTAGAAACCAAGTATCATCGTGAACTTTTGGCTTCAACACCATGCGCGAAGCTGGGCCTCCGCCGCCGCCTTTTTTGCCTTTGCCTTGCTGTTGCTGCTGCTTTCCGCCAGCTTGTGTCTTAACACGAGAGTAACCACCGTATATGACGGCGCCTTGGTCGTGTGGCAGAAATGTGAAGCTTGATCGAGCATCCGGTATCGCGCGAGCTGCTTGGAGCTTTGGTGTGTGCCATGAGAAGTTGACGCAGTCATAGATCCAGAGATCATTCAGGTACTTTGTTGTGGCAGATGTGTCTTGGAACCCTCCCCAAAGGATAATGTACTGTTTGAAGCTAACCATGCGATGACCACTTCGTGCGGGCGGTGCCGCAGTCTTACTCTTGCCTTCCATACGCGTCCATTCCCGGTTTGTTGGATCCAATTTCCAGAAGTCATTGTAGTGATAGAAAGTTCCCTGCTTTGGAGAGCTGAATTCGCCGCCAAAAAGATAGATGTCTTTTGTGTTAGCTGCACGACACCAAGCATGTCCGGATCGAGGAAGTGGCGAGTTGGGGCTGGTTACTTGTTTCCAGGCGTCTTGCTTGATATTGTATATCATGAGGTCGTTGAAGAACTTTGCTGTGGCTCCATTGAAGTACTCGCCTCCGAATAAGAAAACTTCATTCTCGTTTGCCGGATTAGCCAGGAGAGTGCATGACGTTCGAGCGGACGGTGGTTCAGCAGCGATTTCGGTAATGGCATGGTGTTGCTCCTGTTCTTTTGCATATTGTGCCAGGATCGCGTCAAGATCAACATCCTCCGCGTCAGAATCGAGTTCCTGTGTCTTGGATGCAAGCTTTTTATCTTTTTTGCCTGCCTTCTTCTCTTGCTTGACTGCTTTAGCAGCTTTGGCGGCGGCCTTGCCACCGGATGCCTTTTTCTTGTCCTTGGCCATTTTTCAATTCTGAGATTGGAGTCGATCAGATGAGGTGTGCTGTGGAATGTTGTCACGCTTGTGGTTTTGTGGGCTGGCGAACCCCCGCGATTTGCCCCTCAGTACGTCGTTGGAAATTTTTGAACCTCAGCTTTGATACTCTGGAGCTGCTCAGCCACTGTGACGGTGGTAGAAGAGAATAGTAATTACGACTCAATGAATCGTATAACCAAGCTTGCCATGCACAAGTGTTTGGGTGCATACTGCCTGATGACATATTATTCACCCCGCCAATCATTTGGAGCAGGCATTACGGAACGTTTGGGCTTATCGATAACATTGTATACATTCACTCCCCACCTTTCTCCTCTCCACGTAAGCAGTTCACAAGATGATTCAAGCAGCAAAAATTCTCGAGCAGAGGAGCCACCTCATACCTGGTATGATTTCTATCGTCTCTCTTCAATTTTCGTTAATGGCTTTATACAGGCAAGCTTCGAATCACGGAGCACTTCTTCCAAGTACCCCGTGACTACTGTATGTGGAGTTCTGTTTAACATATCAGGAAACGAAGCATCTGAACTTCTATAAGTCATGTATCTATTGACATTCCGAAAGCAAACCCATCCCTGGGAACAATCCAACTCTTCGCTCGCTCAGCCCTAAAAGCCGAGAAGCCCGCAGACTACACGCCAACGTCGCACCTCGAAAAAGCCAAGACTCAGCTCCCATGGCTCATATACTTGCAAGGCGGCCCAGGCTTTGAATGCCACCCACCCCAAAATGTATCTTGGACGCACACCATACTCGACAAAGGGTACCAAGTACTCCTGCTCGACCAGCGAGGGACAGGCCTATCAACCGCTATAAGCCAGTCGAGTCTGCAGCTGAGGGGTGATGAGAAAGTGCAGGCAGACTACATGAAGAGCTTCCGAGCAGACAGCATTGTTAAAGATTGTGAGGCTGTGAGGAAAGCATTGACAGCCGATTATCCCGAAGAGAAGAAGAAATGGAGCATCATGGGCCAGAGCTTTGGCGGTTTCTGCTGCACGACGTACCTCTCGTTTTACCCTGAAGGTGTCAAAGAAGCGTTCCTGTTTGGAGGTCTACCACCATTAAGAGACAATGCAGACGAAGTTTATGGCCGGCTATATGCACGTGTCAAGAGCAGAAACGAAGGGTACTACCAGAAATACCCGGAGGATGTGGAAAGAGTCAAACGCATCGTCAAGCTGCTCTCCCGCTTTGGCGATACCACAGTGCGCGTCCAAGGCGGCGAAGGCCACCTCTCTGCACGCCGTTTCCTCCAGCTAGGTATCTACTTTGGCAAGCACGGCGGCTTCGACGATGTACACAATTTCGTCCTACGCGCGGATACTGATCTCACGCAATTCGGTCATTTGACACGCCCGACTGTGCTCGCACTCGAAGCAGCACAGAGCTGGGACACGAACGTCATTTACGCTCTGCTCCACGAGCCCATCTACTGCCAAGGCCAAGCTGCGAATTGGTCCGCTGAACGCATGCTCGACGAACACCCCGAGTTTTCTCTCTCCCGCGTTGACTCGAAAGATCCTATCTACTTTACTGGCGAGATGATTTATCCCTTCATGTTCGACTGCTATCCTGAGCTCAAGAAACTCAAGAAAGTAGGGGAGCTGCTGGCCGCAGAAAAGGACTGGCCAAAGCTATACGACGTGGAGCAGCTGAAGAAGAATGAGGTACCGACATATGCGGCTGTGTACATGGATGACATGTACGTAGACTTTAACTTGAGTATGGAGACGGCCAGCACGATCAAAGGCTGCAAGCCCTTTATAACAAACATGATGTACCACAACGGCATCGGCGCAAAGACGGACGAGGTACTCAAGCAAATCTTCTCGTTGAGAGATGATGTCATAGATTAGATTTTGCAATGATACTGCAACTCAGCCCCTCCGCTCGTTAGCTTAGTTCAATACAAATACATCTAAACCTCACTTCTTCATAATCTCCCGTGCAAGTCCTAGCTGCGCCTCCAAATCAAATCCCCAAATCCAATGCATTCGCTTTGAGAAATTCTCCTCAATCTTATCCAAATCATCCCCCAACAACTCAAACTCATACAGCTGCCCCGCCTCATAACTGGTCGCAACAAGCTTCTGCGTCCTCTCCCTCCTCACCTCGTCAAACGCCTTAAACGCGCGTTTAAGCTCTTCAGTGCTGTTGGCATCCTTGATCAGACTGGCGAGTATATACGCGTCTTCCATGCACATTCCCGCGCCGGCACCTTGATGCGGTGTCGTTGCGTGCGCCGCATCGCCGAGCAGACAGACGCGACCTTTAGTGTATGTTTCGCATGGAGGATGCATGAATAAAGCCCAGATATCCGGTTTTTGCATTGCGCCGATGATCTTCTGGACGTGCGGGCCCCAGTCTGCAAAGTCGGCTTGCATGTCTTGTTTGGAGGTTGTGACGACCCAATTTTCCGAGTCCCAGGTTTTGCGGGAGCTGAATGCAACGACTGTGGTTGTTAGTGAGTGATTGGTATATTTGAGGAAGGGGGGGAAAGGGTAAATACCGTTCATTATTTTGCCGTGGGCAATGGGGAATGTGAGGAGATGACCGTGGTAGCCTAGGAACATTTGACTGTTTCTGGCGGCTTCGTCGCCGAGTAGCTCGACTGCTTCATCCATAGGGACCAGTCCTCTGTATGCATACTTTCCGGAGAAGACAGCTTTAGACGCAGGGTTGTCTCTTCCAACTACCCATTTTCTCGCAAGAGATTTGATGCCGTCACACCCAATGACGGCGGTATGCTGTGCTGTGGAACCATCGGCGAACTTGAGTACCATATCACCAGATCCGTCACCCGCCTCTTCCATGTCAACGAGTCTCTTATTAAACTTGGCGACATCATCTGGTATGTCTTTTATGAGCTCGTCTAGAAAGTGAGCTCTGTATACACCCCCGCGTTCTCCACCGGGAGGCAGAAATATTTCAAACAGCGGATCGCCCAACTTCTTGCCCTCACGCACATGACCATCTTTATCTGCCTTTCTCCCATCTCCCACGCGAACGGTAAACCAGGAACTTGCCTTTGAACCATATGCATTCCCAGTCTTGCATTTTAAAAACGCCTGGAAGATCTTTGGCGACATGCGCTCCATTGCGCGTCCTGCATTGGGCCCAAACGCCACGCCAGCACCAATTTCCCCAAAATGCGCTGCGGCTTCATATACAGTGAGGGGAACGTTGTGTTGCAGGAGGGTAATTGCGAGCGCGAGTCCAGATATGCCACCGCCGACTATGGCTAGGGAGTAAGGTTTCGAGGGCGAGTCTGCAGATGCCATGGTCACGAGATGTATGAAGCCAAGGTCGAGGAATTGCCTTGGCCAGGTTTTTCACGGTTGAATCACGAGCCGAAAATAAGCAATGGTAGATGGAGAGAAGCTCGATATGGTGTTGTCCAAGCACTTTTTGCGACAGCCTTTCGGACCGGTACTATTGCCGACGGGGGGTGAGACCAAGGACGTCAACACTATTTAGTTGTCTGCTGTAGCGCCGGCAATTGCATCGGAAAGACGTCTATATTATGGTTGGCTACGAGTGAAATGTCGCGGTAGACAACCACGCCTTATGCGGCACCAGACACAGCAGATAGCACCGAGGTAGAGGTGCCCCGTTCCGATGCGGGGTGAAGAACTATGGATATCCATGCCCGTGTGGGGTAGCTGGCGGCTCCGTTTCGGCGTTGAGCTGTTGCGATGTTCATTCTTGATTGCGCCAGGATGGCGGGATAATATGTGTCATCATAATACCAGCAAAAACCATAGCTAGTCTACTACAGACAGCATTGAACGTAGTATTAGTGATTCTGAACTGTCAATCTTCATGCCAGTGGCTATTTCTGACTGTCAAGGTCCGGTGAGTACATGATATTCGTGCCAGCAATTATCTGCCGTGTCGCGGTAGGGGCAACCTAGATATGAGCATTGTACGCATTCGGCTAGTCCCTCAGCCAACGACACGACATCGATAACTTACTCCCATCGAAGCCCTTGCGGTGAGAAATAGCCACAAGAGCTATTGTTTTAAGTCCACTGGAAATCCCAAAACTCATAGATTTACCCACTTAAAACACACGCATCCAATATCGTGTAAGTTTTGAAGTCTCCGATGTGTTTGGTAGGGCCCCGAAAACGGTTGCCCGCCATATGTCGATGGAGAGACCCTGTCATCATTGCAAGGGGGATCCTGCTCGACGGCGTTGACGCGTAGGAGGATAGTCTGGGCACTTGAGATGGACGGGAATGGCTAGGCTTGTAAACTGGGTATTAACGTAGGAGTTTGTAGCCTCGAGTTCCTGTTGACCGTCTGCTGCGAATACGAACCCCGATAAACCCCGATCTGTCCATGGCACCATCATATGCTGCACCGCAGCCTCCCAGCGAGCAAGGCGAAAAGCCAGTGACAGTGCTAGTCACTGGATTCGGTGTATGTTTGCATCCATGTCTCCAACCTCTCACACCTTCTCGTCAACCACCTTAACCAAATGGTCACGCGATCACCCTCTATCTCCCACTTTCAAACCACTGGCCTAACAACCCCCCCAGCCCTTCCTCACCCGCTTTCCCAAAAACTCCTCCTGGGAAATCGCCTCCACCCTCCCTAGTCTCCTCCCCTCTTCCCCCACCAACAAAACCCCAATCCACATTCATGTCCACCACGAACCCATCCGCGTCGCCTACGCCACCGTCCTCAATCTCATCCCGAACCTGCTTCCCCCAGGAAATCCCATGTACCCGGTTGCAGACATAGTCCTGCACATCGGGCTCGCCGCAGGCCGCAATTACTACGCCATAGAGCAAGGCTCGCGGAGCCGCGGGTACGGTAATATCGCCGATGTGGATCGTCAGCGGTTCGACGATGAGAGCGCTGAAAAGCAATTTCCGGCTTCGAAATTTCCAAGTACGCTGTCGACGAGTTTCGATACTGCAGATATCCTGGCGTGTTGGAAAGAGTCTTTAAAATCTTCTTCCTCTTCGTCTTCTTCTGAAGTTGGTAGCACGAAAAGCCCAGATGTGAGGATTAGTAGTGATGCGGGGAATTTCTTGTGCGGGTTCATCTATTATAATAGTCTTGCGCATTATTTTAGCATCAAGGAGGATGAGCGGCCGGTCATTTTTTTGCATGTCCCGGATTTGACGAGTAGTGAGGCGAAGATGAAGGAGGGGTGGGAGGTTACGGTTGCGTTGATCAAGGCGCTGGTGGAGAGTAGGCGTAAGGCTGGGGGTATTATTGTGGATGGGCAGAGACGGAGTCAAGAGGCGCACAATGGGACGTATGGGGCGCAGACGGATAACAATTTTGCTTAAATTCTACAGGCTTTTCGTTTTTTGATTACAAGATATATTTTTCTGAGAGAAGCATTGGGTAACGAGCGCGTACGTAGCGAAGACTGCAGTGGGGTTGCAGGTCACAGAACTAGGAAAGAGTATGGGCAAAGTCATATAGGATGTATAGCATTCAGACAGTGCAAGAAGATTGACATAACGGTAATCGAGGGTTGATCCTAGCTGGTACGCTACCACGTGACTATACAAGGCTATGTCGAGCAATATGCTCATACGATATCATACCAAACTCAAATTGAAGTCGCCGTCTATTCAAGCATGATGTGTAGCCAAACAACATCTACATGAAAAAAAATCAAATAGAAATCGCTTCTGGATTGTGTACTGAAAAACAAAAAGGTAATCGACCTTGAACGCAATGACTAAAAGATCAGCGCTTTCCCCACAATCCCTGCTGTGTCTCCCTGATTCTCCGCTCTTGTTCCTGGATCATCTCTTCGGTCTGACCGTGGCCATTTCCCCTGCTGTCAATCTCCATCGGGTCGTCGGGCTCCTCTGCCGGTTGGGGAATACGCGCGTGGGGCGCCCCTCGTCGGGGTTCCGCTGATCGCTGACCGTCCATCATACCCGCAGCGCCACCAGCTCGGAGTTGGTTGATAGCGCGGATCGTGTCAATAGCAGCGTGAAGCGTGCGCCTAGCATTAAAGTTCTTCTTGACAGTTGGCAGCAGATCCTCTTCGCCATCAGCATTGTTCTTGCCGAGCTCAGTGATCCAGGGATGGGAGAGAGCCTCGTGAGCGGTCATGCGCGCTGCAGGATCGACGGTCAAGCAACGACGAATAAACTCGCGCGCCGTAAGTGAGACGCCTCGCCAGTATTCCAGAGGGGTAAAAGAATAGTCGGCAACCAAGATGGCCTGCATCTCTTCAAGGTTCGAGTCGCGGTCGAAGGGGGTGTAGCCACAGAGGAGGAAATACGTAATAACACCAATGGCCCAAATGTCGCTATAATCTGGTCAGCGGAAGAAAATTCGCAAAGTCGCTTTGTTCTTACACTGGCTTGCCATGACCTGTCTTTCTGAAAATCTCAGGCGCCATGTAGCCTGGCGTACCGCAGGTTGTTGTGAGGACGTGAAATTGCTCCTCGTCCATGATTCGAGAAAGTCCAAAATCGGCGATAAGCAAATCAGCATTGTCCTCTGGTGTTCGGAACAGCAAGTTCTCTGGCTTCAAATCTCGGTGCACGATACCGTGGTCGTGGAGATATGCGACTGCCGATAGAGTAGCCCTGATCAGGTCGCCGGCATCGGATTCGTAGTAGTTCCCCTTACGACAGATGCGGTCGAAGAGCTCGCCTCCAAGCGCAAGGTCGGTGACCAAATAGACTGATTGTGTGTTAGCAGAAGACACAGCGCCGAGGGAGTTGAGACAAACGGTTGTTCATCGTCTCAAAGTAGTCGACGAGCGTGAGGATGTTTCTGTGACCCATGGAAACTCTCTTCAATACTGCAATCTCGTTCCTGACCTGGCACGTGTCAGCGAATGCGCCCTCCAGTCTACAGTTATGCAACCCACCATATGTTCTCGGCCAGCCATAAGCCTCTTGTTGATGACCTTTGCGGCATAGTATCGCCCTGTATCGATGTGCACACACTCCTTGACGACCGAGTAACTGCCCGCACCCAGAGTCTTGCCCGTCTTGTATCTGCAAGGCTGAACCTGGGGTGTTTGTAGTGCCTGTGCCCCCCCAGACCCACCGTTGGAAGTCTTGGTGGCCATGTTTGCGCTTTAGTCGGCGTCTGAAGTGTGCGACCGACAAATTTATGGTAGAGCGGTGCGAGGGTGTGGTTGGGTGTTGAGGTCTTGGGCTGGGTATCGACTGCTGTGACGAAGGTTTGGTAGGCGAAGCGTCGGCGTGCCCGATGGGCTTGCTATTCAATGCAGATAGCCCTGTGATGCGCGCGGCGGGTGGCCTTTTTTCTTGCAGTGAGATTCGATGGTATTTACTGCACTGGCAGTATCTCCTATCGAAGGTATATAGTCGAATATATGTGAAGCAGACCAACAACTGAAAAACAAACTTGTCGTGATGGGCGACGGGGGCCTGCTGGAAGCTTGTAGGGAGGGGTCCACACCGAGTCCCCCACCATGATTCAACCCTGGTCACTGCCAAGACAATCCGCATTTTGATTGGTAGCTAGGCCTACACACCAGCCGTACTGCCGAACCTCGTAGGGAGAATAGTGTACCATAGACATTTCAAATGGTGTATACATTGTATGTATGCAAGCCGCGGCTTTGCGGCACCCAGATTTCTATGTATTTATGTTGATCTAGTGTTCTCTAGCTTCTACCATGGACAGTCGTAGTGTCAGGTGCGTCTGACAGCTAAGCAAAGTGCGAAAATTGTTGGGCAGAGAATGTATACATCGTCCATGCCTTATGGCTTGACGAGCAAGCTGTTGCAGTCCATGTCCTCTGGCTGCTGGAGACCCATGACTGCAAGAACCGTAGGCGCTACATCGCCCAGTACACCGTCAGTTTTCTTCAGACTCCAGCCCTCGGGCGCGTTGGCCATGACAAACGGCACCTTGTTGGTTGTGTGGGAAGTCTTGGGCGTGCCCTCTTCAGTAAGCATCTCCTCAGCGTTACTGTCAATCTGTCAGCTTCTTCCTTCTTTTCACTAAACATGATTCTCCAACTTACCCGTGGTCGGCAGTAACAAACAAGACGTATCCGCTCTCCTTGCACTGGTCATAGACCTTCTTAATAGCCTTGTCCGTCTCCGTGCACGCCTCGATGGCTGCCTTGTATACTCCAGTGTGGCCAACCATGTCTGGTGGGGCGAAGTTGTTCATGAGAAACTCAAACTTGCCGGTTCTGATACGCTCGCAGAGCTTGTCGGCAACCGCCATTGCGCTCATCTTGGGCTCCAGATCGTACGTAGCCACCTTGGGCGATGGTACCATCTCGCGCTCCTCGTTCTCGAATTGCTTTTCGACACCGCCGTTGAAGAAAAAGGTGACGTGGGCATACTTCTCCGTCTCTGCAACGTGGCATTGCTTCACGCCTTGCTTGCCCAGTGTCTCGGCAAGAACATCCGTCATACGCTGAGGCTCAAAGGCAACGTTGAATGTATATTTAGGGTTGTATGATGTCATGGTGGTGAGGTTGACGTTCTTGGGGTATGGGAAATCGGGCTTCGGCGAGCGGTCGACATCACCCAGCAGTTGGGTAATCTCACGCACACGATCCGAACGGTAGTTGAAGAAGAAGACCGTGTCGTCATCTAGACGGACAAATCAGCAAGAGGACATGCAGGTACTCCATCTAGTCACTCACCTTGTATTCTCCGCTCCTTTCCTCCTACAATAATGGGCTTCAAGAACTCGTCGTTTTCGCCCTTTTCGTAGCGCTCCTTGATAGTAGCCACTGGATCGCTGCTGTCTTCGCCCTCTCCGGTAACGAGACCCTTCATTCCCAGCTCGACACGGTCCCAGCGCTTGTCACGGTCCATGATGTAGTAACGACCGACCACTGTTGCGATCTCACCGAGACCAATCTCCTTGGTCGCCTTGAGTAGAGTCTCCATGTACCCCACAGCTGACTTGGGGTCGGTGTCTCGGCCATCTCCGAAAAAGTGGATGTATGCCTTGGGGACACCCTGTTGCTTTGCAACCTTGAGGAGAGCGATGAGGTGGTCCATGTGGGAGTGTACGCCTCCGTCTGAAACAAGACCGCAGAAGTGCAGCCTTCCGTTTCCGTCAATGGCGCGTTGGAACGACTTCTTGATGTTTCCGACATCCTTGAGCTTGTCGTTCTTAATGGTCTGGCCAATTCTGACAGAGTCCTGCCATACAACGCGTCCCGCGCCGATGTTCAAGTGGCCGACTTCGCTGTTGCCCATCAGACCCTCGGGAAGACCAACTGCGAGAGACGAAGCCTCCAACTCGGTGTACCCCTGTGCGGTCTTTGAGCCTTGTCGCGCAAATTCGTCCATGGTAGGGGTATCTGCTGCAAGAATGGCGTCGCCATCTTTGCGCGACTTCTCAGTCGCAACACCCCAGCCGTCAATGACGATGAGGACGGCCTTTTGGTCGACCTTAGCCATGATTGCGAACTAACCGGGAAACTTGGTATAAAGGAGTATGAGGAACCCGAAAACAAAGCTGGATAAGGGAGATTGAATGGCGCGAAGAAAAAGATGTTGAATTTAGTTATCGGCGGAGGGGCAGGGTTGGTGGGGCTAAATCGGCCTTGGAGTTTGGAAAAAGCATGGGCGACCAACGTCACCCCATCTCCCTCTCGCAGCAACCAATGCAATAGTCCCCCACAACCCGCGGCCGAAACTTCGTCTCGGCCTCCCTCCAGTACGCGACACAATTCGCGCAGATCCGGTGAATACTGTGATCGCCAGAAAACACGTGTTGTCAAAGAAAGCGACTGCGATAGAGTTGCAGTGAGGAAACTCTATCCAATCAGCGCCCTCGGGTGAAGCCATCACCTCTGTCCGGTCAACACCACGCTAGTAGACACGTCCATCCGGATAATACTCTTGGAAATTCGTAGAAATGTCGGCAGCAGCAACACCCTACGCCCCTGCATCGGCGCGAGCCTCAGTCCCGCCCACAGGCGCAGCCACGCCAGCCCATCCACCCCCGGCTTCCGCAACCGCACCGGCACCCCCTGCGCCCTCTGCCTTTGACGTCCTGCCCGACCTCCATAAGCTGCTTAAGCGCATCCTCGAGACATCAGCTCAGCCGCCACCCGCTACTCCTACGCCAGCGCAGCTCTCGCCAGATGGGCCCCTGGAAATCCAGCATGTTGCCACAGCTGCAAATGATGTCCGGCTGAAGATACAAAAAGCGAGACGCGCCGTCTTGTCGTTGCCAGATATCGATCGCTCGTTGCAGGATCAGGAAGAAGAAATTGAAGATCTTGAGGAGCGGATTGCTCAGCTCAAGGCTTCGCTGAGGGAGCTTGGTCAATCAGCTGCTTCAGAGGATCGAGACGGAGACCAGAGTATGACTGGGTGAGATGCCGCCGGGACCACGATTGATCCGTTCTAGGACCGATGTCTGTCGATTATATGGACGCGCTTGATCTAGCACTTACCCAGAACTCGTAGTATGTAGACCCAAGCATAGTCGATGTGCCTGGTAGAGCCAGTACTAACGTGTTGGCTAGATATAGAATATCCCTTGTGAACAACGAGTGGTTCTCAAGAGGGCCTTGCGTTAGCTGAAATCAGCGAGAAACAACCTCCAAGCTCTTGCATAATGCATCTACGCGTTAAGCGTACCAGCAGTTGATATTCCTGTCATGGCCTTAGGTGAAAGATGACAAGTTTAATTTAGACGCCCCCCGTGTACCAGGCGACTTGTTCTCCATGAACTCAGTCCATCTGCTTGGCGGAGGCTATTCCAGTCAAACGAATGATTTAGAAGAAGTTAAGCATAGAATAGCTGCAGAAGAGAAAAGAGCATGAACGGTAGAATTGATAGTCAATATTTCGTAGACATCAACAGACGCAACGCACATATCACAATTGTGCTCACTAGCATACACCTCAAGATTGAATCAAAGTTTTATTATTTCATATGGGTATGTCACCACTACTCATCCAGCATGATTTTACTCCAAACACCCCAAGAACACCCATTAGATTCATATCCCTACGAACGCGTAGGCAGATATGCACCACCCGCAAGCACCAAGTTCATCCTAGTAAACTGGACCTTGTACACAGGGCTATCCTTCGTAGGAAACACGCTGATCTGATCCGCCGACACGCCCGTCTCCTTAGCCGCCTTCTTTCCCGTAACCGTCGTGCCGCTGGCGCCTTTCGTTGTCATCGCGCCGTCTGTCTTCGCAGTGACACCGTCGGCAGCCTTATCGTTAGTTTCCTGTAGTACATCCCAGACACGAACTGTCTTGTCGGCACCGGCAGAAACAAGGACGCTCGACTCCACACTCCAGGAGAGAGACCAGATACCGCCTTTGCCATGGCCACGCATGCGCTTGCGTCTACGGCCTGTTTCGAGGGTCCAGAGGATGATGTTGCCGGCGTCATCTGCGGAGGCGAGCGTCTTTCCGTCGGGGGAGCAAGATATAGCTGTGACGTTGCCGGTGTGTCCGGTAAAGAGGCGCAGACAATTACCGCCGGCGATATGCCACATGCGGACTGTGCGGTCGCACGAGCCTGTGAAGACATAGAGGTTATTAGGGTGGAAAGCGACGCAGTCGACGTCGTTGTCGTGGCCAACATAGATGCGAAGAGGCTCAATGTGGTCGGTCGACCACAGACGCGCGGTGCGGTCGTTTGAGCCTGTGAGGAAGTAGTGGCCATAGGGTCCCCATTGGAGATCCCAGATGGGGTTATCGTGGCCGCGGTACGCAACAAGGCAGGTGTACGTATCTAAAGACCACAGACGGACTGTCTTGTCTTCTGAGCACGAGAGGAGACATTCAGAGTTTGTAGGAGGACCAGAAGGATACGGGTTGGCGGTAGAGGGGGAAAAGGCAACCGCGTAGACAGGGCCTGAATGGCCAATCAATCGCCTAGAAGATGATGGCTGCATGTCTGGGTTGTCATTTGGTGAAGTGAGAGGGCTACCGTCCATAGACCAAACGCGGATGTACGACTCGCTCATGCCGGCAGCGACGAGTTTGTTGTCCCCAGAAAAATCTATGCAGTTGATGCTACCATGCTGTTAGTAGTGCATCTCGTGGCCTCAAAACTAAACAACCTACCTGTCATATGTGTTATGGAAAGTATACATGGTAACACTAACAGCAGGTCCGACTCCGCCGGTTCTTCCCTCCATCTTATATCGGTCTCGGTGCTCAATAATTTTTTGGACCTCCATAGAGACATCACGGGCGAGTGACGGGGGTAAAGGAACGAACTCGCGCGAGGGTCCATCCTCTGTCGGCTCCCGCTTGATACGTTGCTCAAACTCATCCAACAAACTTGGTTGGCCCGGCCTTGGCGCAGCTTTGGCATCTTCCTCTTGCAGAGCAGCACGGACATCGTCCTGTAGTTCCGCCTCCTGGGGGTAAGCGCCTAATTGCAGTCTTATTCGTGCAGCATCTGCCTCGGGGTCATGGCGCGCTGTGAGAGGGTGACCGGGGGCGTGTCCTGGAATGCCCTCGTCCTCTGCAGGGAGCTCATCATCGCCGTGTCCGCTAGCAAGAATCGCCGCTATGCTCTTCTCTGCGGTCGCTGTCCTGTCAACTGTGACAATATTAAGGTGTTCGCGGATGACATCTATTATTGTTGACCCGCCGTCAAAGTGCTTAGATTCAAGGAATTGAATGAGGTTGAAGAACGGCATTGTCGTCAACGTAATTCGGTACTTGTTGTCGAGGTAAAGTTTTGCTATTCTGCTCTCCTGCAAATGAGACTGTAACCGCACTTGGCGGAGCGTCTTGACATCTTCGTCGTGGTCGCGCTCGAACAAGCCCTGGTAGGCGGCAAAGAATGTCTCTGCGTCTTTGGTATAAAAGTCGCGTACCAAGTCTAAGAAGGAATAGACAAAGACGGGCCATAACAGCTTCCGCAGCTCTGGTCTATACAGATCCAGGTTATCCTCTGTATATTTGCGCAGCAGCTCAAATGCCTTTGTGTACTTTGCGCCGCCGGCTTCGGTACTCTGAGCGGTGAGAGGCTGTCCGTTGGTTTGTGGTTCGGACTCCTTGCGGAGCATCGCTTCGGTGCGGACATAGCCCTTCTTTGAGAGATACTCCAATACCTTTAGTAGACGTCAGCAATGATGAACTAAATGTGCAAAGAAGACACTCGCTTTGTCGCGGGAGTTAGCAGGAATTTGCGGCTTTGGCTATACGCAAGGCCAATTCTAGTTGATGACTCTGATGCGCCGCCCATGATGCGCGACGAAATTTGCAAAGAGAATACCTGTTGATTTGGGCAAACTGAATTGTAATAAGTTTACCTTACTCCAAGGTCGCGCGGTAAGTCCAAGACTAAGCCTCTGAGGTAAAGGCATAGCGTAGATGAGTGTATAATGTCAATGAGCAAAGGCGACGGCGTAACCCCGCAACAAACGCAACGCATTCATCCATCATGGCTGCACACCCATGCGATAGTGTACCGAAGATAGGAGCAGGGAGCAAGGGGATGTGTCACCTACGATTTGATTGAGATTCTGCTGTGACTGCGGTCCCGACGAGCCTGGCGGTGGAGGGCCACCCTGCGGCGGCATGGCTGCATGTGGTGGCAGACCTGCACTTGGAGGCCCATTTCCTACACTCATAGCCCTTACAGGCCCGGGCCCTTGGGGGGGCCCTGACATGGTTGCGTGATTCCTTCTCTTCTATGCTGGCACACAGCTCTTCCTTCGCTCCGTTGTGCTCCAGTGGCAGTCGCAATGGTCGTCAATAGTCGTATGCGGGGCTTGATTGTCGCTTCTTAGTCGCTGGGCAGTTTTGAGTGTATCGACGCGTAAAGATTGATTCTCGGCGGGAAGATCGCGTCTGGAGCATACCAGCACGTCACCTGGGCGGGCCGTGTTGCGGAGCGCAGGACGGAGGTGAGGTTCGCTTCCTAGGCTGCCAAGATGTGGCGGTGCGATTGTGGGGCTTGAGCTTCCCCGGCTCCAACCACTCTTTGATATTACAACCACAAACAGCCCTATCTGGCGTCAAGCTTGCAGATAGCCCGCCATGTCTACTCAAGCCGATCAACAGAGTGCAATGGATACGACCCAGCAAGCCGATAATGCCACCTCTGCTGAAAAGTCATCTGAAGAACCAAAGACTTATCGCCAAATCGCCGCTGAACATATTGATACCCTCAATGAAATCAACCATCAAATCCCCAAACTGCTCAAATACTTCGCAACTGCCCTATCCCAGCTGACCAACGACCCAATTCCTTTTCAGCATGACGCTATGCAATGCGAACCTGGGACCCTAGAAGCGCGCAAAGAAGCCTTCCGCATCAATGCCCTCTTCTGTGGCACATCATGTGAGATTATCAGGCAAGAGTTGGTGAAGCAAATCAATGCTCTCGAGAGGTACAAGGTCATACCGAAAAGTCACCCCAAGTTTGCCGTCACTCAAAACCAAGCGCGCAAAGGGAAGGAGGAGGAAAGCGAGGTTGTAGATCCGGAGAAGGACGTCAAGAACGGTGGATATGGCGACTTTGATGTGGGCGTGCTGAACGCAAGGGCAAGCTCTGGCCAGGTTGGTGCTGAGGATGTACTGGACCGGGCCAGGGAAATATTACAAGAGTTGCAAAAGCGGACTGAAGGAGCGACCAATGCCGACGACATGGTTACTGACGAGTGAGAATATCAAAAACATGTCTGAGAGACATCTTCTCAGAGAAACTCATAATTGGTACATGTCTCGCGATTAGGAGCCGCCTAGGCTTAATGCCACGAACGTCGAAACCCAAACGTTCGTAATTATTGCAACCCGCGAAGGAACGCGGCAAAACTAAACAAACGTATGGCATCCGAACGCGGATAATGCGTGGAAGAAAAGCGGCCCATTCACGTCAACAAATCCGGTCTAGACTCAGAGGGGCTGACTGCCCAGCTCCATATCCAATGTCATACCGCACCTTGAATACGCAATCTGTCTCTCTCAGGTAGCACATAGCAGACCTGAATCCCCTTACATTGAATGGGGCGTTCTAGTCACATAATGTACAATACTGGTAACTTCCGATCTGACAGCACCTTTCTCGCATTTCCAAATGCTTCTCAGGATATCAAAGCTTGTTTCATGACCGCGATGTCGTCCGGCGTAGTACGACAACACCCTCCGATCAACCCCGCGCCAGCATCCCTCCACTCTTCTGTTTTCTTTGCCAGTGTCGAACCTTCTGTACGCTTCCCCTCCCATTCTCTCGCTTTTGCGTTCCACTGTTCGCCAGAATTTGGATATACCACCATTGTTCCCTCCTTCACAAGCGGTTTCAATTCCTGGAGAGCAACGAGTGCAACATCGTCAGGGACGCAGTTGAATCCCAAAGAAACAACTTGCTCCACACTTTTGAAAAGCGCAGCCATCTCCGACAAAGGTGTTCCGTCGCTGATATGGTTACCATCTCGAAGTGTGAAACTGAACCAGGCTTCTGAAGAAGGAAACTCAGAGGTAAGGAGGTCGATGAGCGCTTCGGTCTCAGCCTTTGATGGGATTGTCTCGCATGCCAGGATATCTACACCGGCTTCGACAAGCGCTTGGATGCGTCCACGGTGGAAGTCCTTCATCTTTTCCTTTGGCACGACGTAGTCCCCTCGATACTCGGAACCGTCTGCCAGGAACGCGCCATATGGTCCTACGCTTCCCGCGACAAATAATTTGTCTCCAACATCTGCACTAGATTCTGTGATGTATTGGCTTCTGGCTTCCCGAGCAAGTTCCACGCTCTTTTTGACCACATTCTTGGCATCCTGCTCGCTCAATCCCAGATGTTTGACTAGACCGTCAAGGGAGGCTTGATACGATGCAGTAATTGCCACGTTTGCGCCTGCACGGTAGTAGTCTAGATGGGTCTTCTTAATGAGTGAGGGGTTGGCAATTAGAATTTCAGCGGACCACAGCGCCCCAGAAATGTTTGCCCCCAATGTTTCGAGATAGGTTGCGAGCGCACCATCCAATATGATTGGCATGCCTTCGGCGATCAAGTTCGAGACCTTGAATCGGGATTGACCTTGATTTGTCATTTTGGCCAGTAAAAAAATCTAGGCCTTTTTGGAGAAGGAGAACTGTGTTGTAAGACGGATGTTGGGGGAACTCTGAGTTTATTCAATCTAGTGCGATCGGCGGCGGTCAGAATGATTATTGGTTACTTAGGTCTTCCCCACTGCCGGTAAGAAGCTTTGCTTTCAAAAATCGGAAATAGATGATGTCTATCTTGCTGAGTCACATTTTTTGCGCCATCGCCTAAGTGGCTGTATTCTAATACTAGGAAAATGTATCAGGTCTAGCGGTGAATGTGAGGGGTAAGACCGACCATCATGTGTGGGGCTGTCGGTTGACGCGTTGGGGAACATCGCGACATATGCTTTGCGAACGCGACACATAATTGTTTCAAATATCAGCGCGCCCATTCTCTTCTTCCGTGTGCCGCTGGCACTGGAAGCTCCAAGACCTTGACCTACGCCTGGCTCAGCAGTAATTTTTAATCGCCCCTAATAGCTCTTTGGCTTACTTTGAAGCAGTTGGGTAGCAACGGTCAACCACAAAGATGACGCGTTCCTTTACATCTTCCGGCCTGGTCTATCAAGAGACAATGGCATCCGTCCGTTCAATGGTGCCCAAATGGACAACCGATTCCCGGGGTAAGCGAGTCAATCCTACCAAGTTTCAACATCCACGTTGTGATAGTCTTCATTCCATGGCACTCCGAGCATGCATCTGGAATATCCACAACATGGAGCCCGGCGCTCTACAATGGCTTGGATGGTGGTACGCAAGTCGCCTTTACATCCACCTCAAATCAACGTGCGTCATGGATCTCATGAACAGCCTCAATCGTACAATGGTTGACCTACAGACAGAGATACGCTTACGTTCCATGCGTGGAACGTATTTAGAAAAGCCTACCCGGAAGAAGTCGATCACCATGTGACATTCCGGGTCCAAGACCGGGATCTCGCATCAATGCAGTACCTTTCTGTGGTTGATCGTCTATCTAAACTCGATGTTAGCATGCTTACCTTCCTTTGCGTGCGCACTCTCAACCTTTCGATTGATCATCTTATTGCACTTACCAAGATCCAAAATCTGGCGGTACTAGTGCTCGAAAATGGGACGAACTCTTGGCACAACACCATGCAAAAGCCAACCGTCGATATGATACGGGATTGGGGCCGTAGCGTTGGTGAAAGTGGCTCATTTACAAAGCTAACGGCACTTGTGTTGAGCGGATATGACATATCGCATATCAACTCTGTTCTCAAGAGCATCTCTTCGTTTCCCGCCTTGAACCTCTTTGGAGTCGATGGTTTGTTCATCCAATCCGGAGTTGACTGTTGGGGAGATTGGACCAACCATCTTCCGAAATGGTAATCAAGTGCACCGAATATTGATGGTATTGTTATTGACGTGAATTGAAACAGCACAAAATCTAGCAAACTATCACCGGAAACTATCTGGGAAACCAACACAACTACCACAGCATTCAAGATGCGCCAGCTTTACCAATTCTCACTGGAAATTGCCCGATCGGAAGCAGCCAAAATGACTGCCGGCCGATCCATTTCTATGTTGTACCTCCAGACCCGAGAGTCTGTTCCCAGATGTCACACTGAATGGTTCCATCGAGAGTTGCAAGAAGAATCTGATACAAAGACCAAGCGTGCACAAGATGAAGAGCATCGAGATCGAAGAGAGACCTATGGCAAAAAGCGGAAGATTCGAGATAGGAATAAGGTTGGCATGGAGTCTCTTCTCGGAAGTTTCATGTAGTCAGAAGGCTTTATGGAAAGTTCCATACAGGTCAGACAACATGATTCTAAGCTCACTATGTATCTGCTTATACTAGACACAGCTTTGCACATGACGCGACCAAGCATCGCGCTACTGTAAAGTATTGATCACTGACGAACTAAGCACCAACGAAGCGGATAGACCTACACATTGTGCGAAACAGATATTTAATCTTACACATTGAAATACACAAGACGCATGGCACTGCTCATTATCTTCAAGGGCATTGAGACGGGGTCTTGACATACGAATTTCCTCAATTTTCGAACTCCGCCAGGGATTGTCCAAGTACCTGCTTCGGAGGAACCAATAGAAGATGTGTTGAGCTTCTCAGTGAGAAGCAGAGGGCCGCACGGAATTGGATATCATTCGTTCAGGTTATAGTCCACTCAAAAGAATGGCCACACCTATCGTTCATCTCTACCCCAAGCAAAGGACCCGCATTCTAGTAATCGAGTAGGCTGAGGGTCAGCCAGCAAATCAAGAACCTTCCATTTCAACTCTAATTCACACGGGAAAAATTTGTCTATACGGTTCACATCGTCTAGAGATTCAAATGGACAGCTATTTCATTCGCAATCAAATATATGTCATGTGACATGTAGTACTTTCTCTCATCGTTCTGGTGACTTCATCATGCTACCAAAGATGTGCATACAAAAGTGCTTGCCATCGAAGCTCCAGATCCAAGTACGTACTCGAACCTGCCTAGTCTTTGAACGTAGGGCAATAGTTTGTTGTTGACGGCAGCGCACTTTCCTTACACCCAACTCAACACAATGCGCTTGCTTCAGTTGCCTGTATCTTGGTGTTATTCCCTCGCCCATAAATTTTGACCTCAGCGCTCTCTTTCTCTTCTTTCTGCACCGACTTCCTACACTCGTTACCGCCCGTCCGCCCGCCCCCAGCAATCGGCTCAGGTCTTTTGGTCTTTTGCTATCTTTGCCCATCAACTACACCTTCTGAACCCCTCTCGCTCCTCCGGCTACTCTCTCCGTCATCATGAAGTTGGCCCAGCTCGTCACCCTCTTCGGAGGTGCTGCACTTGCATTCCAGTCTCTTGTAGCTCCTCGTAAGTATTATTCAGTAACACACTGCCTTGCAAGTAGCCACCTTGTCGGACTTTCACTTCCTCCTTGAGATCATCACACTTCTAATTCATAATGCAACATATCTGACATACCACTAGATGGCCAGCGTGCCCTGAACGACACACACTCTACTGTTGTCATGGTCACGTCCACGCACCTGGTCTACGAGATCTGCACCGATGTTGCGAGATGTCCTCCTTATACCACCGAGGTCCAGACTTCAGCCATCCACGTCACCGACACGACCACGGTCTGCCTTCTTTCTTCGACGCCTTCTGGGTACGGACCTCCGATTTCTGCTACTACAACTCTGCCAACTACCAGCTCGATCTATCCCACTGAGCCAGGGATCTTGGTTAGCATGATACCAGGTTCTTACATCTCTGTGTATCCAAGTGTCAGTGTCTCTCCACAGACCAGCGTGTTGACTACAGAGGCCACTTCTTCAAGTGTTTACGTGTTACCGTCCGTTACACCTTCTCAGCCGTCCGTATCAGTCAGCCACGTTCCCGACCCAAAGCTAAGTGCATCAAGCTCATACACAGCCACAAGCATTCCGGTGGCAAGCATCTCCAGTCCGACTTCGTCGGTCTCAATCACGGACATTGTTGGTACCTCATACTCGGTATCTTCGCTAGGCTCGAGCTCCGCTAGCGATTCAAGTGCGTACGTCTCGCTTCCTGCCGTCTCGGTAGTCCCATTGTACGCAAACTTTAGCTCAGTTGCTACTTATAGTTCGTCAGTAGCCTCTCACTCATACCCTAGCCCCAACACTCCAAGTAGCTTAGGAAGTACCTCAACGTCTGATTTCGTCCCGGTCCCTACCCATGTCTTCGATACTACTTCAACGCTAGGCTATGTTCTGTCTTATACAGCCACGCCATCGAGCAGCAATACCAATACACTATCTGCTTCTTCTATAGTATCATACCTAGGGACTAGCTTTGTAGATTCATCTTCGGGAGTGTACGTTATCTCGTCAGGCGGCATTATTGCGCCAATTTCTCCCACAGTTCCTTCCCCGACTTGGCCATCCTCGAGCGGTTATATGATACCATCTGGCTCTCTCAGCCCTTGGTCGCCAACATACCCCAGCTCCACTGTACTAGAGAGCACGAATGTGATTACCAGCTATCATGTGTATCTGTCCACATCCTATATTACTGCATCGACTTCTTCTGGTGGTCTCGGCAACTACACCAAGACCAGCGCTCAGACAGCGCCTACATATGTTCCATCGGGCGTCTCCTTTGGTCCTTCTGGATCTGGGTAAGTTGTTCAGAGCCACTCTGCATCATGTTCACACTTGCTTACTCTGCAACTAGGTACCCATACCCCTACGCCAGCGCAAATGGATCGGTTGTTGGCCCTTCGCCCAGCTACATGGAGGTTCCGTTCAACACAGGACATCGCATTGGCGCAGGGAGATGGTGTGGCACAGTGATTGTCCTGGTTCTCTGCCTTGCCAGCCGGGCATAGGTCGGCCAAGTGACGTGTTCATATAGTCTCATAGATGATGAGGAAGGTATGTTTATGTGATAGGGAGTCGGCGAGATGGGATATTCTTGCATCAACTATGATCCGTATTCTAGAGCATCCCGGCTCTGTATACATAGTGAAGAGGTGCTCTTAGGGGTAACGGGACAGTGGCATAATCTTTTTCGGAAGTGTTCGTTAGCTTGACACAGGTTTTTGCAGATATTTTAGCAGTTAAGGTAGCCGTCATTAGAGTAGCACGTCATCTACGATACGATTACTAAGACTATTGAAGACTTTGTGTGATGGATCGTGATTGTGATCGTAGATCTCTACAAAGAGTGAAACTTGTTGTCTTGCTACGAGGACGAATGTCATGGCTGGATGTTGACAGCAGTTAAGATATCTTGCAAGGAGACACCCCTTTCCTCTGGTACTATGTTGATCCATACGTGATCGGGAATGCGTTTATCCTCTGGGATGATGCTAAAGTGAGGACTCGGCTCAGCCTTGAGCCACTTGAAATCATCAATCTGGTCCCACAAGTTCGGCGATTCCGATATATGATGCGTAACCTGTTCATTGGTCAGTTTCTGAATCATCCATCCCCAAACTCTCTACTTTCGTGATTCTTTTCACACGGCGAAAACTTACATAACACCTCGGCAACGGCGCAAACCTTAGTCCCTCGCAGTCCTCGAAAATCGGGCGACTCGCACTGTGCAGATAGATATCTACGTTTTTGCTATCGTGTATACGGAACTGGCGACACGATGTCACGATTACGCTGTTAGTTACGTGCGTAATGTGGATGGGACCTGCGACGTGGCCGCAGAGTATGAGGGTATTTTCGATGTTGCGGAGGTAGAGGGTTGCGAATGGTGTTTTGCTGGTGGTGAGATTGACGATGCAGCTGGTCAGGTGGGATACTGTGGGCGAGTTTGTGGTGGAGCGAGTTGAGGCGAGGGTTATGCGGGTTGAGGATTTGTGGGTGAGATCGGATGGGGTGTCGTCTTGTTGGAGTGGTTGTGGGATGGAAGTACTTGGTAGTTCTCTAGCAGGTGCTGGGGTGCTAGATGCTGCTGCAGCTTCTTTCCTTTTATTTTTGAAGCTGAACTTCTTGGGGGGGTCAAAGGCGTTCCTTATGGCTTGGAGTTTTTCGGAGAGAGATTTTATGGCCTATTTTGTATGCGTTCGTGTGTTAGTTTTTCTTACAGCGTTTGGTCATCTTGTTTTCTATTCGGGGTTTATTTTCTCTTTTCACAGATTGGCACTTTCATACCTCGCTATATGTCCGCTGGTCATATGCAGGCAAGTAACTCGACGCGTCCATGACATCGTGTGACAGGCGATCTATACCCGCTAGACACTGCTCTATGGCTTCGTTGCGCTCGTGGCTTGCAGCTTGTGTGTCCGGAAGGGAAGAAATTTGTGATTCAAGGGCTGCGCTGGGATGTTAGGGGCGTTGCAAAGAGTGCACGGCAGCGTCATTCTTACATGCGACATCGTCTTGAAATTTGCGGTAAAAGGCTTCTTTTAGGTTGGATTCGGACATTGTGGGAGGGTCAGTGTGGCGGTTGTATCTATGATGGTGTGTGGCTTTCAAAAGGAAGGAGACAAGGTGCAAGCCAGCGCCCGTCAATTAGGCAGCGAGGGTTAGTGAGAGATGGTGTTGGAGCGTCAAGGGATGAGATGGTGGGGTGGTACGCGGATCGCATTGGGAATGAACATGATGCAGAACGTATCAAAATTAGTACGAATTTGATATGCAAGATGCTATTTGAAAATGGAAGATATTGGATTCCAAGCGCTTGCTTGAATACTAGCCTACAGTACATGCATTGTAGGTGACAGGAGGGAACGCGTGGGATAGGAGCTACCCCGCGTTCCATCCAATAGCGTTTCGCGCATTATCCGACGTAGGATAAGGCGGGCATGGCTAGTGGAGCAACGCAGACATACATGCTAATACAAAATTTATAACTCGGATAGTTCGACAATGCCTCAATTGCTAACGTAGTATGTACACAAACCAGACGCAGCCCGAGTCTTGGCAATCGGGTATTTTGAACCTGTAAACTCAAAGAAAAAGATGGTGTTTCTAAGCCTACGCCGGGGCTGCCTTGACGTCAATGCCGTACTTTTCTAGCAATCGCTGCCGCCTCCGCTCCTCATAGCCGGGGCCATAGATTCCTGGTAGAGTTAGTCTTATGATGCGTAGATATTGGCTGGCGTGCATCATACCTCGTCCCTCGCCCAGCTGCTCCAGTGTCTCGGACAGTGGCCGCCTGCGCAGCTTCTTCAGCTCCTCCCTGCGCTCAACCTCGCCATCGTCATTGACCTGCTCTCTGATGTCCCCGACGCCTCGGAGACCGTTAGTGTATCGGAACGCGGTGAGAACGGTGGAGAATGCGGCTCCGGCACCGAGCATGAAGGGAAGACTTCGCCCTGGGACGAGTTAGCGTGGCAGTGGTCATATGGGCTGGCTGTGCGTACTGGCAACACCGAGGGCACATCCAGCGGCGAAACCAGCGGCGGCCTCGCTGTAGCAGTCGTCCTTGCGTCGCAAGTTGCTAGTCGCGTCGAGGGTGAATTGGTACGTAGCTCCGACACCGGCTGCAGGTCAATTAGCGGCGCTGAGCAGGCGAAATGGCAATTGAGCAGCTACGAACCGTACAGGGCAATGATGCCACCCGAGCGGGTGAGGATACCCATGGCGCCGACATTCTGCTTGCGAAGAGTGTTCTGGACTCCGGCCACAACGGCGCCGACAGCGGTTGTCTGGATCATGGTGCTCATGGTGTTTGCGAGGGCATCGCGGGGGTGGAAGGTGGCGTCGTGGGCGGCCATGGCGGGCGGAATGGGGCGTCGGTGTCGTCGTCGTCGAAGCTCTCGCTATAACGATGTCAATGTCTCTGGTGTTGCAGGCGGCGGGCGGGCCTAAGCGTCTTGGCACCGGCCGCCAGGGCTCCCCGGCAGCGGGCACTGCATCATCGTGCGCGCCAGGTCGGTTGGGAGTGTCGCAGCATCGCGAGGGCATGACAGGCAATGGCTGCTTGTGCTGCTCGTGTATACCATTCTCAGAACTCCTATTAGGTCATCGTGCCCTTGTGTGTTTCTGCTGGGTAACCGCCACCTACAATGCTTACCTGATGAACCGTTTATCCACGCCTCTTGCTTGCTTGCTCTACTTGGCCTGCTTCGTCTCGTGCACTTGATCTATTTCCATCACCACCCATACATAATCTCTCTGCCTGTCTCGCCCGGCCTGTAGCAGCCATGGCGCCCGGTACCTCGTCTTTGCCCCTTGCCCACCCATACATGCTAACTTGAGCGATACAGGCAAGACAGCGCCACGGCTCCTCCAGGACCTCTTCACATACGACCCCCGCCATGAAGAGCGCGCCGGCCGCAACCTGTTGACCAGCCCGCCGCCGCAGCACGATGCAAATGCCGCAGCCGTCGCCGCCGTGCCATTTAGGAACTGCAGACACAACTTCTTCACAAAGGACAAGCAGTCCATCCCCGTCGAGCCCGAGCGCGAGCCAGACACCGACACCGTCTACAAGGTTGCCGCCTACTGCCAAAAGTGCCGTTGGCATGTTGATGTCGTCGCCGACCACCGCAATAATGATGGCAAGAGCAAGTGGTGTGGCAGAGGGAACACAGACTATGCTTTGCACCACTTTCTCTACCAGGGCCAGGAGGGCTCCAACGGCATCAACGGCCTCGAAGCTCAACTGCCGTCTCGGACCTATTCCTTCCGCTGCTCAGCGCCTCAGTGCTCACTCCACGTCCGCATCGGCATGAGGCCACCAGTCTTCTCCGAGCATGACATTGAGACTCTGACCAACCAGGCCAAACTCAGGAAGAGATGGGAGGTTGCGCAGCACTTGGCGGGTGATCGAGCCGACCCAGTCATGGCCCGCAGAGTCGATGCCCCCGACTACCTCAACACATATCTGCAAGACTCGCTCAACCCTTCAAAGGGCAAGGCGCGCATTCCCCTGTTCAACAAGAAGTTTCTAAAAACTTTTGGCCGTGATTGCGACTCTATCCTGAGGCGTTTGGGGTTCGAGAATCGACAAGAAGAAGACGAGGAGGGCACCTTAATAGAAGCATGGTACCTCCCTAGACCGGAGAACACTGCTCATCCCCTCGAATACACCCTACGGACCAAGATTGAAGACGCTCGCTACGAGCTCAACACCATAATACTAAGCGTGCCAGAAAATGAACGTGCAAACTGCAGACACCAGCCCATGCACCCCTTGTCCTCGCGGGACGAGCTCGAGAGAGTGCTGGCCTGTGCAGATTGTAAGTTTGACTCTACGCGTCTCGTTTTATATTGATACTGATGGATTCTCTAGATGCAAAGGCAAAGGGCCGCGAAACCCGCAGCACAAGCCATGAAGAGGACCACCCGTGCGTATCCTGCCTTGAAGTTAATCAAGTATCTTCATATGCTGACATTAAACAGCTATTATGCTAGCTTAGGCGCTTTGGCTGACTTTGACGATTCGCTGATTCTTTTTGCTTTCTCTCGTCAAGTTGCTGTAGACATTGATAACAAAGACTATTATTTTGAATGCTTGCAGGATCTCGCTGCGGGCCGTCAAAGTGAGACACTTGGGGTCCAGGTTGCCCTGTTGGCCTCTCAGGGACTCATCAGCAAGCGGGACGCCCAGCGCGCATATCAGTACTTTGGCATCAATCCGGCGCATGCGAGCGTCATTGGCGACGAGCACATTATTGGTTCATTCAAATCTCGATTATCTGATATCAGCCCTCTGCAAGCCGAGGAAGCACGAAAGCAGTTGCGGGTTCTCGGAGACGTGCGTGATAGTGAGAGGATAAGGGCAGAAGCGGCAGGGTCTATTGAAACTTACGACCAAGCCATGTCATGGTTTGATCTTGACCCTACCACAGCGGATGACTTTGTCCAGACCATGTACTCACTAAAGGTCCGTGCACAATTCTGATTGCTTTGGAACAAACGCTGATGCGCACCAGACTCAAGACAATCCAGCAGAAGTAGAAACCGCACAAAAAGCACTGCAGATTATAGCGGACCACCGGCAAAGCGAACGACTACAGCACTTTCTCAAGTTCGGCACCATGTCCGAACCGGAAATGGACCTGGGCGATGCCTATGCTCACTTCCAAGTTTCTGATCGAAGCGTTGCGCTCGATCCAGCTGTGCTAGATTCTCTGCTCAGCACCTACGAGCTTGGCACGAGTGAGAGAGCGAGAATGGAGAAAGCGCATGCGCTCATCCAGCAAGACCAGACTCAAAGATTCGGCAACCGTCCTGCCAATGCTCCCATGACTGTAGTGCGGCGCAACAACTATCCTCTCGAATCATGGCCCGTCGGTCTCCGCAACATTGGCAACACATGCTATCTGAATAGCGTGCTTCAATTTCTGTTCACTATCAAACCCCTACGGGACCTTATCCTCAACTGTGAGGATCACCTACAAGATCCCTCACCGGAGGCTCTAAAAGACAAGAAGGTTGGACGCATGGCAGTCACCCCGGAAAGGGTATTGACTGCGCAGAAATGTCAGTATGTTTCAAATCCACGAAAATCTATATTAACCTTGTCCAGTCGTTCGTGAGTTGCGGGCCTTCTTCGAGCGGATGATCAAAGCACCCACAGACACCGTGCAACCTGAAATCGACCTTGCTTCACTCGCACTATGCAAATCAGACATTTCCGAAGAAGCAGAGATACAGGACTCAGATGTCGTTCCAGGCGTAGGTCTCGGTACCATTGATGGAGCGGTGGTCAGCGGCCCTATGCTGCCACCCGCTGAGGACCAGCTGATTCCCGTGGAACTACCTGCCGGATCCATCATCAACAAGAACGAGATTGATTCCACAGACACTGTTATGGACAACACCGATACGTCGGCAATCAATCCCACAGACTCGGAGATGAAGGAGGATGCTCCCAGCCATGAGAATGGCTCTACAAAAGAGGGTGGAAATGATGTTCCTGCACCGCCAACACGGCCACCTCCAGTCCCACCACGAGCAGATCCCAAACCCGCCCCCAAATCCGCTGTTCAGTCAAGCACGAAAATCGGCCGAATTGAAGAGAGTGCTCGACAGCAAGACGCAGCAGAGGTTATGGCGAACATTTTCGATTTGATATCCTGTGCAATCACTGGTGATAGCGTATTGCGCGAAGGCGAGCAAGGAGATGCTATCAAGAAACTCTTCTTTGGCGACGTAACGACAGTCATGGAGAAACCAGATGGAGTCCAGAAGAACCAAGAGCTCCGAGACCATTTCCTTGTTGCTACTGGTCGCCGCGACCGCTCGCTCTATGCTACTCTGGACGAGGATTTCGGTCTTGGCGAAATCGAAGGCGGTGGTGGTACAAGGTATGATTACGTTGAACAGGCCGCGCCCATCCAGATCATCAACGTAAAGCGGCTGCAGTACGAAAAGGGCCAACCGGTGTACGACCACTCACATATTGGTCTTGAAAAGACCATGTATCTCGACCGTTACTTGGCAAGAACACCAACGCTAGACGAGTCACAGCTGTTGGAACTCCGCAAAGCGCAATGGGCAAAGCAGAAGCAGCTACGAGAGCTGGATGCAAAGCGAACAAAATTGCAAACTACCGGAATCGAGGGTATGAACCTACCGGAGTGCCTTGACGCTACTAGTGATTTTATCCAGAGCTTGTCTTCAGACAATTTCGAAGACCAAGACCAGCCAGGTAGCCTGCTAACACCTCCCCCGGAGCTCTCGGACAC